GCGGTCCTTCCTTGGAAGCCTGCTCTCGGGCCTTGAGCTGAGCCATAATCTCAATCTGATGCTCCGCCACCCTGGAGGACCTCAATCTCAACCCAAAATGGTCCGCCATTAGCTGCAGCTGAGCCTTAGTGCACTCTTCCAACTCCCGCGCGTCCCTCGACTCAATAAACTTCTTTACTCGGTCATCCTCCATCTCTAAGCTATTGAGTAACTGTATACAGGGAATACACTAACGAGCAGTGTAAACCGAGACCAATATTGACCTTAATACACCTGCCCTGCACTTACAATCATTGTCCACTGTTGTTCGATGAATCCTGGCGAGGTCGCCACTGTCAGAGTTCACCCCCTTCCAACCTGTGGTTGGAGTCGTTCCACAGGTCTTAGCCCCTCAGTACCGGGCGCCACTGCTCGCCCTTGGGCTCCCCCAGTCAACTAAGGGCTGGCCTTATACACCCCTAGCGAGTGGGGAGGTTCAAGCTTCTTATGACTCACTTAAACCTGCCTGTCCTGACACTGGAACATTTTCTCTTGCTTTATCTGATCTGTCCTGAGGTCGCCAGCTGGGTTTTTATACTCGTGTCCCAGCAACACGTCAGTGGTCTCATTAATTATCTTGGCTAAGGATGCAATGTCACGTGCAGAGCAAGGTGTCACTAATGGTCTCATAAATATATAATATATCTAACCCTAGAGAATGGAGGCTCGTTCTCAGTTAGTTTAAAAGTTTACTGAAGAAAAACATATATACATATTCAAATGGCATAAAGAAATGTCTATGTTGGAAACATCCGCTGGTGGCAGCATTTCTCGATGACACGTCTCTGGCAACACGGTCAGCTGACTGGATCCACTCCTCCAGCGCGGGCACACGCCTCGCGCCTCTGGCAGCACGATCAGCTGACAGCTCTGGCTGTCAGAACGTCGTGATTTCCCACGCCTCTAGCAAGGCGATCACCTAGACGTTTCAGAGTGCGTTGGTGGCTCCTTGCACACCAACTACCCTTCCAGGATCACTAGCATCACCACGTTAATGCTCACACACACCAACTCATGCCTAAAGGAGTTTTTGGCTCCTAGTCTAATGTCCTGTCACTTAGACAATAAAATGAGAAGAAATGATCACAACATATACAATACTCTAGCTCGCCTAGCTCAAAAGGGGTAAGGGAGGGACAATTATCTACCTTATTTCACTCCAACCACGAAGTTGACTCGTCCTCTGTTGAGGAATGTTGAGGTTCCTGGTTCTGGCTTCTGGTCTCCTGATGAACAGTTCCCACACACACAGGTTCCTCCGTCACCTTCGTGGTAACGCGTCCTCGCCGTGCTCACATCCAACAGGTACTGCCATCCTCCTCCTATTCTCTGGGGGTACTAGAGACAGGTACCTCCATCGTCGTCCTCACTCTCACTGGCACTGTCGACACCTCACAGTCCAGCACAGCTTCCCCTCTCCTTAACTGATAGTAGATTTGGGCTCGGCCCTAGCTTCTCGCTTAATGTGTAAGCGTGGTCCTCTAGTGGGCGTCCCAGACGTCACCAACCCAACGTTCCCTCTGCTGCAGACTTGTGATACGGCTCTTGGCTCTTCAATCCAGTCCGTCCTTGCCTCCGGGCACTCAGAGAACACTTAGGCTACGGAGATATGACTCTTCTAAGCCGGGAAGGAAGAAATACAGGGGTGGACACCGTCACAGTTCTGACTCTGCCATTGCCCTTGAAAGGGACACTACATGTTGCTCTGGATACTTGGACTTGAATTGGTTTCATGGCAACCCACACTAAATAGAAATATTTGGTGTGAGACAGAGTAACTGACGAGTTACTTTGACAATTACCCCTCAGTAGTTACGGAAGCTCCACGACCAAATGAGTAGGGAGTGCCAAGGATTTGGACTCCTGCAGTTGCTCTATGCGTCCCTGTGCAGTCTTAAAGTAATCAGCTGTCATTACAGCATTTGTTATGTTGTTAGTGCAGTCCTTTCCTGACTGAGGAAAGTATTATTATAGTTATCTCATTCACTATAGGAGATAGCCATCACATCTGGTGCCCAACGTGGGGCTGGGAAATCTTAATTGATAGAACCACGAAGCGCACATCTGGACAATTAATATTTGTAATCTATTCACTCATAGTTGATAATCTCACAAATCAATAATCAACTTCCTGCCTGAGGTCATCCCAGGTCCAAACCTTCCCAAATTGCATGCAGGTCCTGTTTAGCAATGATACCTGCTGCCACTTGGCCGGCTTCTCTTTTATTCAGTCTCCTCAAACCACCTCCAGTCAATATGTGATGTGTCCTCGCACCCACGAAGTCTGAACAAACCATTCCAAATTGCACTTCCGATACTCTCTTTGACTCGTAGTCTCTACTGTAGTCATGGGCAGCCAAGTACCTGGCCTACCCTTGCCTACTCTGGCCTACCCTGGCCTACCATGGCCACTGACCATCAGCTGTTAACTACACACGGCTGAATCGATTTGACACAGCCATAACCTCCTCCACATGCTCCATAAACTATTCCCACCGCCAGTACATGTGAGTGAGAGAGCTACTGACTAAATGTTACACAATAATCTGGATACAGCAGAAGAGTGACAGTTGAGAGGTGGGGGCCAAAGAGTCGAAGCTCAACCCCAGCAAACACAACTAGGTGAGTACAAAGAACTTTAATATATAATATTATCAATATATATATATATATATATATATATATATATATATATATATATATATATATATATATATATATATATATATATATATATATATATATATATATATATATATATATATATATATATATATATATATATATATATATATATATATATGAGAACAAACCTATTTTAATACACCATACAATAAATTAATCAATACATCTTGGGGGACGGCCGCAGCTTTAACGAGCGGGGCTTGAGGTCGGGTTGCTTAAAATGCTTGGCACAAGTAAGCAAAAACTGATTTCTGGTCATTAAGGAAATGTAACAGTGAACATTGGCCAGCTCTGGTCTAAAAGTATTTACAATTTATAATGAGAGAGGGAACTATTATGATAAAGCGCCAAGACATTATGGCTATATAACACTTGGAAGGAGTCGGGATAAGGATTTGGGATGGGACGAAGGGGACAGGAATGGTGCCCAACCACCTGGACGGTCGGAGATTGAATGCCGACCTGAATGAAGAGTGATCGTCGCTTTACCGTCCACCTCAAGTGGTTGGAGTTTTGCTTACAAAATGATCATAGTTAATAATTAGCTGTACCCTGCCACGTGTTGCTGTGGCTCAGCAACACATGCACGTTGCTGAGCCACAGCAACCCTCCCCTGTTCCCCCATCTCGTCCTCCTAACCATTTCCTACTCCCCTGGCTCCTCGTCCTCCCCACCATCCCCCACTCCTGTCCCCTCGTCCTCCCCACCATTCCCCACTCCCTTGTCCGATGCGTTCCCAAATGATCTGATGTTCCCATCAGAAAAGAGGGAACATCAAATGATCTGATGTTCCCATCACTGCAAAATAAGAAGAAAAGTTAAAAAAACGAAATGAAAAAATAGAAAAATAAAAAATTAACTATACTCACAAAATGAATCGTAAGGTAAACAACACAGCTCAATTCCATTGAAATGTCACACAAAATAATTAAATCAAAACGAATAATTAAATTCAAAATCTTTGAAAAATCAATTTATCAATGAAATAGGAAACATATAAATGGAATCGAAACATATTTAGTATAGCGTGAGTTGCTCTTACGTGCAACAGTCGGCGCTGTTTTTTAAAAAATCCTGTTTTTACCTGTCACAGGTGTGGCATCTATACTTATACTCACGAAATGAATGGTATGGTAAACAACATAGCTCAGATCCAACGCAATGTCACACAAAATAATTAAATAAAATTGAAAATAAATCGAAATATATGAAAGTTTAATTTGTCAATGCAATCGAAAACATTGAAATGGAATTCATAACATATTTAGTGTAGCAGGTGCTGTTTAAAAAAAAAAAAAGGTTTTACCTGTCACAGATGTGGTCCTATATAGTAGGTATATAAAAACACGTGCCTTTTCGAAAGCAACGTTGTGTCAAAATTTCAAAGCAATCGGTAATGAGGTTTCGAAGAATTCCGTAACATGAAAACATGAAAAATACAGTTTTTCAAAAAATGCATGTTTTTCCCGTCACATATGTGACATCTATATAGTATGCATTTAAAAAAATCCTCTCTTGCAAATGGAACGTTGTGTGAAAATTTCAAAGCAATCGGTGAAGAACTTTCGGAGATTAGCGATTTTTAACAAACGAGCATTTACATTTTCATTTAAATAGATATATTAAGATCAGATCTCAGTGAAGAGCTTCACAATCGTCTAGAAGAGTACGCATGATACCAAGAAAACAGTCTAACAGAAAAGATAGTACAGAGCTAAGATCAATGAACAGTACAAATGTGTACTGTTGTACAAAAAAGTCAATGTTTTATAGATTTGAAATTTTAAGGGGCACAAAAACTATAAGATCCTAACAATTACCCCTAACCTATAACCGATTATAGGTTTAAAACAAGCCTAATATGCAATTATATGCCTAATATAATACATATACGTAATAAAATAGGAGGAAGAAGAGTTAAGAGTGGTCGTGGCCATGGCTCTCAGCTTATACAATTTATTGTACAAATTCATTGATGTTGGGGCGAAGAGTTTGGAACATTGCGCCCAAACTAGCTACAGGAACTGGCAGTTTTCGAGGAAAGACAACAATAAAATAATCGTCAGACAACAAACAATAATTCGCGCGATATCGACAATAATCTTTAACTAACAATATGCCATGGACGCACCAGGCGGGAAGTGCCAGGGACGTGCCAGGCGGGAAGGGCCAGAGACGAATCAGGCGGGAAGGGCCAGAGACGAATCAGGCGGGAAGTGGTAAGGACGCACGAGGTGGCAAGTGCCAGGAAAAGCATCAGGCGGAAAGTACAAGGGATGAACCAAGCGGGAAGTGCAAGAGACGCACCAGGCAGGAAGTGCCAAGGTCGCACCAAGCAGGAAGTTAAAGGGGCGCACCAGTTGGAAAGTGCCAGGGACGGCATCAGGCGGGAAGTGCCAGGGACGAACCAGGCGGGAAGTGTCATGGACGGCCTCAAGCGGGAAGTGCCATGGACGCACCAGGCGGGAAGTGCCTGGGACAGCACCAGGCGGGAAGTGCCTGGGACGGCATCAGGAATGAAATGCCAGGGACGCGCCAAGCGGGAAGTGCCAGGGACGGCAGAAGGCGGGAAGTGCCAGGGACGCGCCAAGCGGGAAGTGCCAGGGACGGCAGAAGGCGGGAAGTGCCAGGGACGCACCAGGCGGGAAGTGCCAGGGACGCACCAGGCGGGAAGTGCCAGGGACGGCAGCAGGCAGGACGTGCCTGGGACAGCACCAGGCGGAAAGTGCCTGGGACGGAATCAGAAAGGAAGTGCCGGGGACGCGCCAGGCAGGAAGTGCCAGGGACGAATCAGGCGGGAAGTGCCAGGGACGCACGAGGCGGGAAGTGCCAGGGACGCACCAGGCGGGAAGTGCCTGGGACGCATCAGGCGGGTAGTGCCAGGGACGCACCAGGCTGGAAGTGCCAGGGACGGCAGCACGCGGGAAGTGCCAGGGATGCACCAAGCGGGAAGTGCCAGGGAGAACAGCAGGCGGGAAGTGCCAGGGACGCACCAAGCGGGAAGTGCCAGGGACGGCATCAGGAATGAAATGCCAGGGACGCGCCAGGCCGGAAGTGCCAGGGACGCACCAGGCGGGAAGTGCCAGGGACGCACCAGGCGGGAAGTGCCAGGGACAGCAGCAGGCGGGAAGTGCCAGGGATGCACCAGGCGGGAAGTGCCAGGGATGCACCAGGCGGGAAGTGCCAGGGACGCACCAGGCGGGAAGTGCCAGGGATGGCATCAGGCGGGAAGTGCCAGGGACGCACCAGGCGGGAAGTGCCAGGGATGGCATCAGGCGGGAAGTGCCAGTGACGCACCAGGCGGGAAGTGCCAGGGATGCACCAGGCAGGAAGTGCCAGGGACGGCAGCAGGGCGGAAGTGCCAGGGATGCAGCAAGTGGGAAGTGCCAGGGACAGCAGCAGGCAGGAAGTGCCAGGGATGCAGCAAGTGGGAAGTGCCAGGGACAGCAGCAGGCGGGAAGTGCCAGGGACGGCAGCAGGGCGGAAGTGCCAGGGATGCACCAGGCTGGAAGTGCCAGGGATGCACCAGGCGGGAAGTGCCAGGGATGCACCAGGCGGGAAGTGCCAGGGATGCACCAGGCGGGAAGTGCCAGGGATGCACCAGGCGGGAAGTGCCAGGCACGCACCAAGCGGGGAGTGCCAGGCACGCACCAAGCGGGGAGTGCCAGGCACGCACCAAGCGGGGAGTGCCAGGCACGCACCAAGCGGGGAGTGCCAGGCACGCACCAAGCGGGGAGTGCCAGGCACGCACCAAGCGGGGAGTGCCAGGCACGCACCAAGCGGGGAGTGCCAGGCACGCACCAAGCGGGGAGTGCCAGGCACGCACCAAGCGGGGAGTGCCAGGCACGCACCAAGCGGGGAGTGCCAGGCACGCACCAAGCGGGGAGTGCCAGGCACGCACCAAGCGGGGAGTGCCAGGCACGCACCAAGCGGGGAGTGCCAGGCACGCACCAAGCGGGGAGTGCCAGGCACGCACCAAGCGGGGAGTGCCAGGCACGCACCAAGCGGGGAGTGCCAGGCACGCACCAAGCGGGGAGTGCCAGGGACGATGTGAGCGGTAGACGTGTCACAGATATCATTCATAATAATTAGAATTCATTCTTAGCGCAACGCTATCCGCAAAAGTAAATTTAATACGAGCGTTTTTATCGAAATCATAACTTTTTAAATATTATTTAAAGTGATTTTTAATATTGAATCATTCTAAATAATATTAAAATTAATTTTAAATAATGTTTATAATATAAAATTCACAAATATATATAAATTAAAATATAAATGTTTGTTCAAAATCGCTAATGTCCGAAAGTTCTTAACCGATTGCTTTGAAATTTTCACACAAAGTTCCATTCGCATCCAAGCGGGTTTTTATATTCATAGTATATAGATGTTACGTCTGTAACGGGAAAAACATGCTAATTTAAAAAAAACTGTTTTTCAAGTGTTTTTCATGTGAGGGAAATCTTCAAAACCTCTTTACCGATTGCTTTAAAATTCTGACACAACGTGGCATTCGAATAGGCGCGTGTTTTTATATAAATACTACATATATGCCTCGGCTGTGACAGGAAAAAATCATGCTTTTTGAAAACCAGCGCCATCTGCTGAAGGTAAGAGCAATACACCCTGTAATCTCCGAAGTCTTCTCCGATTGCTTTTAAATTTTGACACAACATTCCATTCAAATATGCGCGTGTTTTTATATTACTACTATATGGATGCCACACCTGTGACATGTGAAAACATTTTTTTTTTAAAACAGCGCCATCTGTTGCACGAAATAGCTACACACACTAAACTCAATATGCTACGATTCCATTTCAGTGTTTCCAATTGCATTGATAAATTGAATTTTCATAGATTTCGATTTAGTTTCATTTTGATTTAATTATTTTGTGTGACATTGCATTGGAATTGAGCTGTGTTTTTACCATACCGTTTATTTGATAAGTATAGGTATAGATGCCACATCTCTGACAGGTAAAAAAAACATTTTTTTTCATGAAACAGCGCCATCTATTGCACGTAAGATCAACACACACTATACTAAACATGCTACGATTCTATTTCAATGTTTCCGATTGCACTGACAAATGGAATTTTCATAAATTTCTATTTACTTTTATTTTTATTTATTTATTTTGTGACATTGCATTGAAATTCAGCTGTGTTGTTTATTATACCGTTCATTTCATGAGCATAGTTTATTTTTTTTATTTTTTTATTTTTTTTATTCCATTTTTAACAGTTTTTCTTACATTTCAGTGATGAGAACATCATATCATTTGAGAATGCATCGGACGAGGGAGTAAGGAATGGTGAGGAGGACGAGGGGACAGGAGTGGGGAATGGTGGGGGAGGATGAGGGGACAGAGGAGGGGGTAATGGTGGGGAGGACGAGAGGACAGGAGAGTTGGGGATGCTGGTGACGAGGAGACAGGGAAATGGAGAATGGTGGGGAGGACAAAGGGACAGGGGAGGAGGGGGATGGTGGGGAGGACAAGGGGACGGGGGAGGGGGGGGGATAGTGGGGAGGACGAGGGGACAGGGGAGGGGGTAATGGTGGGGAGGACGAGGAGACAGGGAAAGGATGCTGTGGCTGGGTACAGCTAGTATTTTGTAAATTATTACATTATTCAGTCTACATAGAGATGATAACAACACCGTAAAATAACCCTAATATCCAGACGAGTCCAGATTATCTTCAGTTGACCATCAGTGTGTTATCTCTCTGTGTTAACTTCTGTGTCCTTACTCGCTCGCCGGCTTGGCCGCCCATGCACATTCTGGCTTTGAGGGCACCATTTTTTGTTTGCAGGGATGTTCCTGCGCGGGCCCTAAGCCTCTGGCTGGCGCAATGAGTGTTACTTGTTACTGCTTTACTTAGGCGGAGTAATAGTATATATACCTCGTATGGTCGCTTCAGTAAGATTTCGCCCAATGTCCCCATGTGTTTAACAACTTCTGCTCTGTGGTAACTCAGTTGAAATCTTATTGGTTTGTAACTGTGCCCTGTGTTAGATAATGTTCCAGGGGTCTGTTGTGGTTGTATCTGTGCACTGTGTTAGATAATGATCCAGTGGTGTGTCTGGCATTTCTCCACAGTGCTAACATTTCCTCTCATCTTCCGGAACCTGCAAGCCTATTTCCCATGAACATGAGGGGGTACCCAAGCCTGATGCGATGTAAGTGTACTTCTGTTGTTCTACTGCTCCCTTGCATCAAACTAAGTGGGTCGTATTTGGTTGAATTCTCGTACCAACCCGCAGATCCTGATGTTGCAACTGCTGTGTTGTGGTCACTGTACATATTCTGCATTGCTCTATTTCTGACGATGGCACAATTGGTTGGGTTGATTGGTAAACATGGGAACTGATTTTGTCGCGCTGATGTCCTTCGGCAGCAGGAACTAAAGGTTCAGACTCATTTGCATGATGGCATTAGCCACATCCTAATGTGAAAATTAAAGGCACTATATCCTTTTTCCTGAAGGGAATCACGTCTCCAGCAAACACAACGGTGAATTGTTCAGGCAGTCTCTTATCACTGGCTACCCCAACGTTAACAGAAACATTAACTTCATTGTTTGAATATATATGTTAACAATGAGTGGAACACAGGTGTGGGAGGTCTCCAGAGTGGAACACAGGTGTAGGAGGTCTCCAGAGTGGAACACAGGTGTAGGAGGTCGTCAGAGTGGAACACAGGTGTAGGAGGTCTCCAGAGTGGAACACAGGTGTAGGAGGTCTCCAGAGTGGAACACAGGTGTAGGAGGTCGTCAGAGTGGAACACAGGTGTAGGAGGTCTCCAGAGTGGAACACAGGTGTGGGAGGTCTCCAGAGTGGAACACAGATGTAGGAGGTCTCCAGAGTGGAACACAGGTGTAGGAGGTCGTCAGAGTGGAACACAGGTGTAGGAGGTCTCCAGAGTGGAACACAGGTGTAGGAGGTCTCCAGAGTGGAACACAGGTGTAGGAGGTCGTCAGAGTGGAACACAGGTGTAGGAGGTCTCCAGAGTGGAACACAGGTGTAGGAGGTCTCCAGAGTGGAACACAGGTGTAGGAGGTCGTCAGAGTGGAACACAGGTGTAGGAGGTCTCCAGAGTGGAACACAGGTGTAGGAGGTCTCCAGAGTGGAACACAGGAACTAGTCCGCAGGGATGGAACGGAGATCCAAACTTTATGTGTGCAATTATAAAGAGTTTACCGTCTCAGAGGTGGCTCTCTGATATATATTACAAGTCCACTTGATGTTACACGAGCTCTGTATCCAGGATGATAGTGATCTATGAGCTGTGAGTCCAAGATGATAGTGATCCATGAGCTGTGTGTCCAGGATGATAGTGATCCCATGAGCTGTGAGTCCAGGATGATAGTGATCCATGAGCTGTGTGTCCAGGATGATAGTGATCCATGAGCTGTGTATCCAGGATGATAGTGATCCATGAGCTGTGTATCCAGGATGATAATGATCCATGAGCTGTATATCCAGGATGATAGTGATCCATGGGCTGTGTGTCCAGGATGATAGTGATCCATGGACTGTGTGTCCAGAGTGATAGTGATGCATGAGCTGTGAGTCCAGGATGATTGTGATCCATGAGCTGTGAGTCCAGGATGATAATGATCCATGAGCAGTGTATTCAGGATGATAGTGATCCATGAGCTGTGTGTCCAGAGTGATAGTGATCCCATGAGCAGTATATCCAGGATGATAGTGATCCATGAGCAGTGTATCAAGGATGATAGTGATCCATGAGCAGTGTATCAAGGATGATAGTGATCCATGAACTGCGTGTTCAGGATGATAGTGATCCATAGGCTGTGTGTCCAGAGTGATAGTGATGCATGAGCTGTGTGTCCAGGATGATAGTGATCCATGAGCTCTGAGTCCAGGATGATTGTGATCCATCAGCTGTGAGTCCAGGATGATAGTGATCCATGAGCTGTGTGTTCAGGATGATAATGTTCCATGAGCAGTTTGTTCAGGATGATAGTGATCCCATGAGCTGTGAGTCCAGGATGATAGTGATCTGTGAGCTGTGAGTCCAGGATGATAGTGATCTGTGAGCTGTGTGTCCAGTGATAGTGATCTAGGAGCTGTGTGTCCAGTGATAGTGATTAATGAGCTGTGTGCCCAGATTGATAGTGATGCACACTATCCCCAACACTTTTGACGTAATATACTGAGTGTATATTTCCATATCTTCTGGGAATCATTAGTTTATATTAGTTCTCCTTTAAACGATCTTATCTTAACTTTAAGATATATGCTTTACCAATAATAATCTTATCGCTCTAATTGTAAATTGTAACTTTTTCCAATGGCTTTAGCACCTATTCATTATTACCACATCTGTATTTTTTTATAAATCATTATCAAATATAACATTCAAATTAAATATAATTCTAGATATAGGAAATAAATATAATGATGAAATGTTATGCTGTTATAACGACTCTCTTTTTAGTAAATAAAGATTTTTTGTAAACCTACTCAATTATAAATGTTCAAATATTTATAGATGAAGTTTCTGAATGTGAAAGGTAATGTTACAAATGACCAATTGCGTCAGGCAATTACCACTATTACTTGCTCGGCTGAAGGTCACACACACACCCGTTAAACGCATCACTCAATCGCATTTTTAACAGGGTAGATACACGTGTTTTTCTCCCAATCATCAGCATCGGCCTCTAATTGGTCATGTGTCAGTTTTAGCATCTCTTTGATGAGCTCAAATTTCCAAGTCTCATCAGCATCCTGTGATGATTTAATGATTTCATTTTACTCTGGTTCTGTGATCTCAACGTATATTGGTTTAGAGAACAAGCTACACTTTTTTTTATTTCATGCATTTCAAAAAACCGCTTCCCGGTGCCATTCAAGATGGGAGGTGCGTGATATTCCATTAAGAAAGTCTATTCATGCTCGAGACGATGAAGTACTTAGTAATAACGCCTCCAAATACTGCTTCTCACATCCTGGTGTTCCAGTATTCTCGTCAATAATTTCTCGCACTTTACATTCTCTCACTTTGTAAACTTAAGCTCTACTTCTCT